GAAGATGTTTTACCAATGCCTTAATTTGGTATCTGGTCTCTGTCTTAGAAATGGAAAATGATTACACTTGGGCAATGTTCAAAGTCTTTGAAGATAACCCGGGATGGGTATCCACAACATGATAATTATTCCCTTCCTTTCATTCCTTGGGATGTTTAGAAGGTGGTGAAATTAGGGTAAAATGTTCTGCCTTTCTTCTTTGGTTTTTGTTTTGCTTATCAGCTCACCATCCAATGACTGATTAGATTAAGTGCCCCTGCTGGAAGACAGTTTCCTTTCCAACTTTAACCTCATCACCTACAGATTCTGTTTCTAAGAGGGGTAAGGGAGTGTGTAGCAAATTGGGAAAGACACTTAGCAACTTTGGGAAACCATGACTGTACCATAATGTCTGTTGGCTTCAGTATTGGGATCTGACAACATCTTCTCATTGTTGGAGTTCAGAAGTGGTGCTGCCGGCCTTGAAATGAAATTTAAAAAGGAAAAATATATATAACGTTTTTTTGGCTCTAACTCCAAACCAACAAAATAATCAAGGAAAGATCATGAGAAAACTAGGAAGAGTTTTCCCAAGTTGGGAAAACTTTACTTTCTCATTTGGAAGACTAACTTTTTTTTCAGCTCTAAGATTATTCGATAAAAGCTTTTTGCTGTTAAAGCAAGTGCCAGGGCCAAAGGGCACTTGAATACCAGGAGCCTTTTATCAGGTAGATCTCAACTCCTTGAATTCCTCATCCTGTGGGACTATTTCTCTCAGGAACAGAGCTATCCTTTCCATACTTTTGGATTTTGGATTTCGAGAACAGTAAAAATAGTACAACCATTTTTTTGGACCAACTCTATTTTGCCAAGTAAGTAAATTTTTAAAATTCCAATCTACTACCATTATAATTCCATACAGAAAAGGGGATTTCACAAGGAACAGTGTAGGAAGGACATGACCTCAGAATAAAGCTATTCCATCTCATGAAAGGACAGTTGGCAATCTTCCACTGAGACAAATACACACACACACACACACACACACACCCTACACTACTCATGCCCAAGGCCCTTATTTTTCTAAGTTTTCCAAGAACCATTGAAAACTTCCTAAAGACCAGAATCTCCCTACACACAAGTCTATCCATGCCCAGAGAGCTGCCACCTCTCTTTCATGTACACACACTGACCTGGACATCTCCACTGGCATCTGCTTGGCTTTGAAAGAGAAAGGAAAAAACCAGTCAGTATAAAGTACCCACATCCATATAAGAATACTCATTTTAACCATATTTGACTTTCTTGAAGATTCAATATCCGTAAAAAAAGAAAAGTCAAATATACTTCTGCTTTTAAAAAAAGAAAGAGAGAAAAAGAAAATTAAAAACAAACAAACAAGTAGGTCTTCTCTTGGTGTTGCATTGAGAGACTTCGCATCATTTCCCCGAGAAATATGACATTTTGACTGTTTTAGCCAGGGGCTATTTTCTTAGTGGAATGTCATAGAGATGAAGACAATGGTACAGAAACTAAATTAGCCACATAAACATGCAGCTATTTCTTTGATTCAAGACCATTCCAAAAAGTGAAGGCTAACTCAATCCCTGTGCTCTTAATTCCAAGCAGGCCTGAGACCAAGGCCAGGGTCAGCCTTAGGAAGGGGTTTGTTCTGGAGCCTGTCTTCCCAGAGGGGTTGCAGCTTTCCTGCTCCAAAGAAAACCCAGGGGCCCTCCTCATCCCATCTGCCCCCACTAATCCTAGGCAGCAGCCCCAGGGGCTCCAACAGAACCTGCCCCATCCCACAAAGATGTTTGCAGAATATACTGGTGTTGTACCCTTTTCCTTGAGTCCAGGCTAGCTGACTCTGATTCCTAAGGGTCAGTGGGTGACCCTGGCTTCCCATCCACATGTGGCTAACCCCAAGCACAGGGTAGACATCATGGCACAACTGGCAAATTAGTTGCAAGGCATTCAATGGGTGTGTGTGAATGTCTCCATAACACTCACACCCACTCTACTAACTGCAGGACCAGGTGTGGCCAAATCCACAGGAGCAGCTTCATCTGACCACATGTAGCAGGAACATCCCCCCAAATTCATCTTTTCTGAGGTGCCCAACTTGGAAGCCAATTACTTTCATTTCTGCCTAACTAAAACCAGGGGCAGTAAAATCTCCACACCTGCCAAAGCCAAAATCTTGGTTATCAAGGTGACACTCCAAGGAGAAAAACACCGTCATCAGTTACAACTCCTCAGCTCCCACTGGGCAGAGCACCAGCCCCCCATGGAGCCAGAGCCCCACACATCCACAGCTGGTTTCTTGGCAAGGGCAACCTATCAGAATGGAATGAGAGAACTGTGCTCACCCTTGGCTTTCTTCAGAAAATAGCATCTGGCTCCAAGTATCAAGGTGGCAATTATCACTCCGATGATAGTCACTGCAATAAGTCCTTTCTTCCATGGGGCAAGAAAGACTGGAAATGACAAAAATTTAAATATATAGATTTTTCCTCTGTCAGCAAGAAATACTATCAGCCTTAAGCAACAAATAAGACTGATTTTTATAGTCCTTGTAACCACGGCCTGCACTGAGCATCTACCTCTGAGGGACTGTGTTCATAGCAGGTGCAGAAATGGTTGTTTTTGCTACAAACAGAGTCAGCTACGGTCTCAAAGGACCGTAGGACTGAAGTAGACTCCTTTCTGGGGTCCAATCAACCTCCCCCTTCTCTAGAAATCCCCCTCTACACACAAAGGTGGGTTCCCCTAACCATGTCCCTTCTGCATTACTCAATTTCCTTGGCCACAGGTGTGGTTCACGAGTGGACATTTGACCCAAGTTGAGCCAATTGGTATCTCTCTGCCCAGAATTTGGTATTACTAGTCTGTGAAATACTTCCAATTCCTTATAATAACCAGTTCCTCTTTTATATTTAATTTGAGCGAGTTTCTGTCACTTCTTTTTTTTTTTTTTTTTTGTGA